CCCAGCGCTCTGGAGACCGCATTGCTTCCAGTTTCTGTCTTCCCTGCCCTCTGATGCTAATTCAAGGAAAAGCACCTGCAAAAACCACTCTCTTCCCCCACCTGCCAGGTGTGGATGTTCCTCCCTCACCTAAGGCACACACAGTCAGTGCAGTAGCTGGCACTACCAGGAGCACTGCCTTGGGCTACTCACATTGAATCAGACCTGTACTGTAAACTGGTATGGCAGTCACCTCGGGGAAAATCCAGTGATTGTTTCATGGTACGGGGCCAGAGATTACACAGCAATATTTGGGCAGCAGGTAAAAAGAAGAAAAGCCTGCGTTGTTGACATAGCAGAGAGGAGGTAGCAGGTTAGCATCAGGGACTTTCCCTGCCGACCTCAGTCAAGCAAAACTCACTGTGAAAGCCAGGATGCTAGGATTCGTTACAGCACAGACTGTTACAGGACCTTTACTGAGCATTTGGGCAGAAGGTCTGTTCTACGTTTTGCATACATTTCTAAAGACACTTAGGTAGCTCTGGTATAGAATTCTCCCCAGCTGAGCACAAAGCCAGATCTTCTATGGGCATATGTAATTTGTCATTTGATGCCTTTGGGTTACAGTATTTATATTTGTTTGTTAGAGCTAAGTAGCACCAGCAGAGGTTAAGATGTCAGCATTTCCACTATAAACCCAGCTCTTTCTGAGGGTTAGGTAACATTTCTTTTATACCACACTATACTGAAATTCTGCCATGCGGATGCTGTCCAAGACGTAAGGCATTTATTTTTCACCAAATTTGATTTGAAGACATTATGGTAGTTAATGGTTTAGAAAAATGTCAAAAAAATGTAAATTCTAAGCTTTTTTTTCAGAGGCTGTTCTTGCATTATATACTTCAAGAATAGCCTAACATTTCCTATCTCTTAGCCGCTAATATAGACAAAGCAAACGGAGACAGCATAATTGAATGTCCCGCTTTGGAAGGTTTAAGCATAGCCTTTCTACGTAAAGAATTTCCAAAGCCACAGCTTACACTCAGTCATGCAGGATGTTGTGCTATGTAGCACAGTAACACAAGACATCCTGCTGGAGTAGGTGGGAAATACCTCCACAAGCAAAGGGGGAAGACTCCCAGAGCCTGAACGTAGTATTTTAAGCCTCTGTCAGTAAGTGGGGACATGCAGCACCTCAGTGGGAGGAGCAGAACGTACACAGCTCTGATCTCAGCGAGTGGGTGGTGTAACATCACATCGTGTGGCCTGTGCTAATGAGCAGTCAATGGGAAGAAGGGACCAAGCATCTTAGACCTGCTGGAGAATCTGTGCTTGACAAATAGAAGATACTGTAGCATTAGCAAGCAGCCGTCTCAGAACTGGTCTGGAAGGGAAAGGTGGTGCCTTTATAGCTACTAATAGTCATTTTGCAATGTTCAACTGTCAGAAGTATATGTAGACTTGTGTTATTTACATTGCCACATAAACGATCCAGTATGATTAACATTCACGCTTTATACCCTGTGCAGTTGCAGAGAGAACATGCCAAGATCCTCAAAGACTTATGTTTCCTCTTTTTCTTTTATCCCCCAGGTAATAACTCCAGTCAGGTCGGGACAAGGTTATGTTTATGAATTCCCTTCCAAATACCAGAAGGATACCTACGATATCCCCCCTGTTCGCCCTCTCCAAGGGGTAGGTACCAATAAAACTGCCAACAGCACTGACAGAGCACAAACGGTGATGAATTTCTACCAGAAGTTTATGAGCAAAGCAAGTTCTCTCATTTCAGAGAGAAAATGTTTTAATTAGATGCAGTGGCTTATTCACAGAGCGCAGAAATATTTCAAAGTTGTATTTGATGTTGACTAAGATTTGGCAGCACACCAAACGCAAAAGTCCCATTTGTTTTCTGTGTTTTGATCAAAGAGTATATCTAAACAGAATAAACTTGCTGCCTGGGAACACTTTTTTCCCCCTTACTTTGTTGTTGCTTAGTTGACAGTAATTCACTCAGTAAGGGTAAGATTATCGCCTAGATGAACAGCTACTATGCAGGGAATTGTTTTCACCACATATGTACTGCACCACGTCACTGAACTTGAAATATATCTTTGTTCTGGGGAACATCCTTAGCATTCAATCCCCAAGACCACAGACATCTAGAGTGGATGCTTGCAGGACCTGTAACTCAACAACCCTGCATCTCTCCATGGCTCTTTGACAGAGCCGCTGCTCTGGGGAACAACATTGAAGCCAAATAGTACATAACACAGACTGACACCGAATGGCTGGAACTGTTGGGAAGTCTGGGTTAAGAGACATTCAGACAGTGGCCTTAGAGCACACGCAGAACCCACTGTAACCTAGGACGTGCCACGAAGTGGGACACTTGAAACATCTGACAGCTGTACTTTCTGCTAGTAAGACAGCTCACACTGCACCCAATAAAGCAGACAGGTGATGCTGACAGGGGCAGCCTTAGTTTCAGGGAGTTTAGGGTGTACTGGTACAAGCTTATTCCTCAGTCCCCCTAATCTCTATCAGTAAGGGTGTTATCAGTTCTGGTCACATGAATATACCGCTCCCCTGTTCACCCCAACAGGTATCTGTAATAGATTGGCCTTGATTTAATGCTCGGGATGGAAGTCAGCCGTGTCTTCATCTCTCCAGCCTACCGTCCACACAATTGCCCAGAGAGGACCTAGCAAAGTGCATTTCCTAACTGTCCAAAATACCCGGCAAATCCAAGCAGCTCTCCCATATGAAACAAAGTTGAGGAGCTCTGCTCATCTTCAAGCTGTTTGAGAGGAAACACGGAAATCAAGAAAACTCATCTGAGATCAGAACTTTCCTGAAGTGACTTGTTTCTGTAACCAATTTATTCTTTCTTTAGATCTATGACATTCCCCCCACATCGGTTAAGGGGCCTGCACTTCCAGTTCCCATGGGAGAAGCAAAAGCTTTAGGAGTCTATGACATACCACCTGCCAAAGGGGTAAGTATTACGCCGTTTCCGCAAGATACTGTATTTTCATGTCTGACCAAAGACATGTTTAAACAAGAGTTCATGTATGATCCTGAAGGAAAAGGAGATTCAGTACTTTAAAGATTTCCTTAGGTTTTTAAACTGTTAAAGCTGGTAAAGTGAAGCGCTGCATCAAAATTATTAACGTTATGGAGTGTGAACTGATAATTAGACCTACATTATCTTTGTGGCAGCATGCTGCCTTTTTGAATTTTGCTGCTTATGAGAATTTGCATCAAGATGAGTGTTAAAAAGTGAGATATTAAAACTGACGCTCAGTCAAACTCAGGATAAGTAGCTGACTCCATGAATGTCAATGGCAGATCTTCCATCCCAGTGTTTTCTAGGCCATATAGAAGATGTAAAATATTTTGCTATTCTAGCCAAAGGTTTCATGGTTTGCTTTTTGTGATTCAGGTCTATGCTACACCTCCATCTGCATGCCGAAATGATACAGGCCCGAGGGAAAATTTGCAGGGTTTTTCATCTCCGGTGGGCCACAGTGTAAGACCAGAAGGAGTATATGATATTCCTCCTCCCATCACCAAAGCAACTGAGAAAGAACTTAATAAATTTTCTCCCGAGAGCCTTTTATTGCCAGATGGAGTGCCACAGAAACAGAATGTTTATGACATCCCTATGAACCATCAAAACCATTTTCTTGGACAGCAAATTGCAGCTCAAAAAGATGTTTATGATACCCCAAGGGGAATTCCATTCCCAGGACAACAGACAGGACTCAGTGAAAGTCTCATCCCAGAAGGAAGAGAAGGTGTCTATGATGTGCCACCACCAGTCCTCCAAGACACTAAAGGCTTACAGGATGTGACTGATGGGATAAATAGGTTGTCTTTCTCCAGCACAGGAAGCACAAGGAGTAACATGTCCACATCTTCAACAACATCAAAAGACTCTTCTTTCTCAGCATCAACTGCACAGGACAAAAGACTAATCCTTGATCCAGACACAGCTATAGAGAGGCTTTATCGCCTCCAGCAGATGGTGGAGACAGCTGTCAATAACCTCATGGCCTTCGTTACAGCAGACTGGCGGTCTTATGCATATATGGAGAAACACATCAATGAAATTCACACTGCTGTAGATAAGGTAGAGCAGTTGCTGTTGGAGTACCTCCAGTTTGCGAAAGGATCAGCAGCCAATGCTTCCTGCTTATCTGAGTTCAGCCTCCTTAACAAAATGAGGAGGGAGGTGCAAAGGCTGGAGGATTCTCACCAGATCCTTACCCAAACCAGTCACGACTTGAACAGCTACAACTGGTCTTTGAATGTTCTAGCTGTCAACAGACTGCAGAACAAGTGTGATGACCTGGATCGGTTTGTTATGGTGGCAAGGACAGTCCCAGATGATGCCAAGCAACTAACCACTACCATCAGTGTCAATGCAGAGGTGCTCTTCAAACAGGCGTTGAGCAGCTCACGTTTCAAAAACATACCAGAGAATATCATGAACACTCCTGACTATGTATATGACAATCCTCATATGCAGCATCACGGAGAAAAAGCACAGAACCACTGCAGTTCCCTTCCTCCGCTCCTGAGTAAAGGTCAGCACCCACACAATACCACCAGTGACAGCTCGGAAAAGAGCTGGATGGATGACTACGATTACGTTCACCTGCAGGTAGGTAAACCCAACACCTTTGTCTGCACAAGGCCAAGTAGGAGTTGTTGATACTTCTGTTTGCAAAAGCTGTTGGCAGGAAGGTAGCAATCAGATTGTCACACTAATACACATTCAAGAGTAATTTCACCAGGGCGATAACTTGCTCTCAGATACGACTGTTGCATGCATAATAGCAATTGCCTTGTGCTCTGCCACACTATCCTTTTCTTCCCCATACCCTTAGTGGTGCACTACCAGTGAAAAACTCAATACAGAGTCTGTTATTTGACCTATGAGTTGTCATTTAGCTCAGGAGCAGTTTTGATTTAACACAGCGTCTTCTTATATTATGCCAAACAGGGGAAAGAAGAGTTTGAAAGGCAACAGAAGGAGCTGCTGGAAAAAGAAAATATCATCAAGCAGAGCAAAATGGAGCTAGAGCACCATCAGGTATGTTTGCTCAGGTGCAACAATCACATTGAAATGCAGCATTCCTTGCACATAAGGATTACTGGTCAAATAAAGCAGGAGGGGCCCTTCCCTTAGCGGTGTGCAACTGGCAGCATCATGGCTGTGAGGTGTGCATGAGTGCCAGCACACGCAGTTGGAAAGTCCCAGGTGCTAGAAGGTGAAGACGGCAGGTATTCGGTCTTGGCTAAACAGCGACTCCAGGTTAGTTTCTTTCCAAGTGGGATTTGTGCCGGTCAGGCTCTACCATTAATGGATTTATCAAAGCAAAGGACAAGGACACGCACTATCATGGGCAAAGTGGGAAACGGCGGGCACCAAGATTTTAGCACCTTCCTGGCCCCATGCATCTGTGTCAGCGATTGCTGATGCCAGAGACAGCTGAAGTATTTACTGCATAGTAGCTATTCTAAAGATCAGCATCTCTGCCCTGTTCGTTTCCTCACTGCCACTTAGTAACTTATTGGAAGCACAGCCACAGCTCTCAGTGTTTGGAATGACACCTCTTGTGTCAGGAATAAGCCTTTCCCTTGAAAACAATTTCCAACCATCTCAATTTAAGAGACGTTATTTTTTTTATACAATGCACCATTGCCATGGGCCCAGTGCATACGTATAATGAAAAGCAGTCTCTGACTCCAAAAGTTTACCACAGAGGAGAAACAGACTTCTGCAGTGTCTCACAGTGGATCAGTCACAAAGGCAGCTTGAGAACTTGGCTTTCCTGACCTGCAATCCAGTGCCTTAATCACTGGACCACACTGAATACACATGCCACCTGCACATCTGTTCAGTGAACGTCAATACCATTAACTTAAATACTGTGCTTAACATCACTTTAAATGCTAAAAAGCATTTAAGTGGGCTTTCACTTAAGGTTGAGGGCTGTCACTTTGCCCTCATATTAATTCTTCAATACGTTGTTGCCATATTGTATGGCAGAAAAATTGTACAAGCGATGAGGACGTGAGAGTTAAAGGTTTGTCATCTCAAAATCCCACAGAGATGGCAGCTTTTTAAAGATTGCGTAGGAGTCATTGCCACTTGGATCCATCTCTCTCACTTGTGATTTCAGAATCTTCAAAATGAGCAACAGCCTGTAAATTCAGGAGGTTTGGGGTTTTTTTTTAAATGCAAATAAAGTGTTTTAGATGTTTTTCTCTTCTGAACTCTGTGTATTTGGATTTATGGTAACCAAAGCACTTGATTACCCCTCACTCTCCAAAATAAAAGATCTTAGAAAACACGTATACTAGTTTTTATTTAACATAAGGCAAATCTAGGATACCTAGGGGTATCCTGAGGCATAAGGTGAAACTGTTATACGTAACAACGTCTTACGAGAATATTCTTTGAAGAGGGCCTTTTCATTTGCCTTTCAGATTAATCAGTTTCAACGTCTGGAGCAAGAGATCACAAAGCCGGTAGAGAATGACATCTCAAAATGGAAGCCGCCTCAAGCTCTCCAGACTGCAAACAGCACCGCCGCCTCCCATGACAGCCAGCTGCTTTTATTCTATTCTGACCAATGTGAGACTCATTTCAACTCCCTCCTAAATGCCATTGACGCCTTTTTCAGTTGCGTCAATGCTTCTCAGCCCCCCCGAATCTTCGTGGCTCACAGCAAATTTGTCATTTTGAGCGCTCACAAACTTGTGTTCATTGGGGACATGCTCACGAGGCAAGTGACGACCCAGGACATATGCAACAAAGTGATGAACTCCAGCAACCAGCTGTGTGAACTGCTGAAGAGTGTTGTTCTGGCTACCAAGATGGCTGCCTTGCATTACCCCAACACGGCAGCCCTACAGAAGATGGTGGACCGAGTAACAGAGCTGTCTCACCACGCACAGTTGTTCAAACTCTCGCTGGTCCAAATGGCGTCCTTATGAAACCCAGTGGAATCCAATCCATGAGCAGCAAAACAGAAAAGCAAAAAAACTGGAGCTATTTTTATTTTAATGTAACCCTTTTTTTTTTTTTAGATATTTTTAATGAAGTATTTTAAATACATTCTTACGCGTTAGAGAATCTAATGAAATCAGGGATCTGGGAATATATCTGGTTCTGTATTATGTTTCTAATACACATTTAGATATGTATACACTGCATATATGTATATGTTGCTACATTCCCTAAAACATCAATTAAGCACCTTAAAAATTACGCGTCGGGTAAGCAGTGCGTATCTTTTGTATATACTGCCTGTTTCCTCAGTATATTTGTTAAGTGGATGCTGCACTCTTCTTGTTTCATTCCATCTCGATTTTGGCACATGGACTTGGTTGTGAAACCTACTTGTAGCAATCCATGAAGCAAGTGTAATGGTTCTCATAGAACTCCATTCCCTTCTTAGAAATTACTTTCTATAGGTTAATTCCATGAAATTTAACTCTCCTCTTGACATTACTTTGTTATGTACAGCGTTTGATCATTCTGAGTAGCATATATGCACAACTGCAACACGCAGCACATCAAGCAAGGCATACGGCATTTGGGAGAAAAGCGTTTTTAGGCCATATAAGAAACAGAACCTTCTAAGGAGGAAGGCAGAGTCGTATGTATTTAATATCTTGTGGCATTAAAATTCCGCTGTTTCTAATAACTGTGCAACGTGGGATTTTCAAACGTGGATGGATTCCCAGCAACGTAAATTCATACACGTTTACCTTGTATGACCTTGCATTGGCAATTAAATTTAACAGTCGGGCTCAAATGCCGTATTGTTCATGGACTCGGAGTTATCCTGAGAGCATCCCAGGATCCACTGGGCTCATCTCTGAGGCCGCAGATGAGCAATGTCTCAAAATACCAGTCCCTCCCAGAGGGATTAACGTACAAATTGTAATTCATATGGAAAGAAAACAGCTTAATTTGAAATAACAGATATTTAAACATCTCTATAGCATATACACAATTTAATGAAGAAATAGCACTTATTTTTCTAGGACATATTCTTGGGAATTAATTGCATCTATTGCAATTCTGACTTCCATTCAACTATTGGGCTTTTTTCCAAATTCTGTTGCATAGGTGCTGGTCCTTCTGCACTACACTGTTGCCAAAAATGGCCTCCCGTTTTAATGGGGCCATTCCTTCAGTAAGTACACACAATCCCACCCAGTAATTTTCAATTTAGACCCTTAAAAATTGTTAGCAGAGTGGTACTCCTTTAGAAATTTCACGTATGCTGGCTGCTCCAACACATGTATTAACTTATTTGTCTTTGTTGCCTTTTGTAAACCCCCTAAAAATAAGGCACAGAACACCAGTTGCCTGCGGTCCTCAGACTAGAAGCCGCGCTTCAAAGTAGACAATAGCTCAGGTAAATTCCAGGCGATTCTGGTGTTTTTAAAGCAGAAACACTACTGTCCTTGCATAATTGAAGGTAGTCCCACATTGATGCGTTCTGAGTGTTTGCCATCAGCGAGCGGATCGCTGGCAAATACACACTTGTGAGATCGGTAGCAGCTAAAAAACAGGCACACTTCTGCCTAACTTTTTGCTTTCCCAGTTTGTATCCGAACACGTGCCTTATTGAAATGGGATTTGTTGTCTTAGATAACAAAACCATTTCAGCAGCATATGAAATCTTGCAGCCTTAACGTATCGTCTCAGAGTGAGGCTACCGTAACGTCGCTTCCCCAGTCTGCAGAATGTTCCCAGGAAGGCCAGCGGGAGCCAGCACAACCTCACCTGGCCCAGAATCGGCTCCGGGGCTTGGCTCTGGCGTAACATCCAGAAAGGGTGGTTACCCTATTGTAACCAACAGCCGGCTGCCAAAAAGCAATCCACGTGAACCTGTTTTGTACTAGTGTTGTTTGGGATTCTTTTGGATTTCCCTGTCCATTTTTTTTCACTGTATATTCTTAGAAAGTGAAAAAGTGTTTTGAAGCTTAGTGGTTATGTTGGTAGTTTGTGCTTTCAAAAGGAGAACCTGTATTGCAAGCCTGTATTACAGTTTGTTATCTTGTAGAGAGTCATTTTAAAATGATTAAATGACTAGCTTTTTTTTTATATAAAAAAGGCAACACTTGGTCTTATTTTTTCTTGTTTTCAGAGTCCTCTAAGCATATTAAAAGGAAATATTGCTGCTTGCTAATACTATCAAAGCCATTCTAAAATTAAGAGTTCACTTTCCATCTTTTCACTGATCAGTGCTTACAGCGTGAAGTGAGAACTTGAGGGTAAAAGAGGAAGGGACAGACAGTTTCTCTGCCTGTCCAGAAGAAGCAGGTGAAGCGTTTGTCCAACTCAGCTGCACAAGGCATCAAGTCCAAAATACAACCATCAGGGTCTACCGTGCACTGGGCCACGCTCCTGCCCTATTCCCGGTGTCTATTCCTGCCGCGTGAGCTGCATCCCGAACCACCTCATCATAGCACAGACACCGGTCCTTGAGGTGAACGGGGCAGTTCCTCTCAACACAATCCCACGATAAGGTGGGGTGGCAGGACACAGATGTCATTGTCTGCCCATTCTGGCCTGATCCCCCTCTCCAGCATTTAACTGGTGAAGCCACGATCCACGCAGGAACGGGAAGAGCAACTTTGCTCAGTGTAGCCACCCTTCCCCCCCAACCCAATGGTAAAAGCACCCCCTCTTCTACTACACGCCAAGTTGAGCGTTATCTGGGTGTAGGTTCCAGCTGAAACAACCACGTGGCTTTAAGGATCACAGAGTCCTTCCCAGAACTTACTGTCCCGTTTCGCTGTCGCCAAGGCACTGCCCTACCTCCTGTCACACACCCAGGGGTGCGCAAGGAGGAGAGAAAAAGCCTGGGACTGGCTCTGTGCTTACGCCAGTTCTCAGCTGCCGAGGAAAGATGTTCCTGCTGGGGAGCGTAAGTGCAATGAAAGCCTCCAGAGCCGAGTGCCTGCTCTGGCTCGTTGTGTCCTCGCAAGGGGACAGCCGGTGATGCAGGGTTGCTTCCCGAGAGTGCTCCATTTTGTTCCTCTGCTAAATTTAAAAAGGTCAACTAACAACAAAGGAGGGACTGGACAACCAAAATGGTTCAGAATAGAAACCAGAGCCTCTTTGCTCTCCTCCCTGAGCCACAGTGCCCCCACGCAGTTGCCAAGAAACTGCTGCTGTTTGGCAACCAAGTTGATGGCCAGTGTGAAATGACCGATGTCCAGTGTGGGAAAAAAGCCTGCCTCACGCTAGTGGCAAATGCGGAACATACTTGGCTCCTTACTCCAGACATTAAGTACATACTAATTCATTAATTAGAAAAATGCTTCCCCTCTCTTCCAGGATGATGAGCGAGGGAGAAAGAGGAGAGACAAAAGCCACCCTTGAAACGGGCAGGTTTGAGAGGAATTATCAATTCATACTGATATATGACACAGGACATACTTCATCGTGCCCCATACTGCACAACCCCCTGCTGCTACCTCTGCCGTTTCTTGCAAGCCAGGGCTGCGCAGCCTCTACGTTTTCATTAGCTGTGCATTGCTGCAACCTTGGCAAACCCACTGGCTGCTGTTCCAGCAAAGGCAACACGGGTGAAGGAAACCAAGTTCCCACACCGTCGCCTGATGCTAGATTACACCCCAGCACCTTCACAGCCCCCGTAACTTCTAGACCCTAGAGCTGTTGGCACTCTCCAACATGTACATCTGGGCTACGTTTCAGAAATGTCCCTCCCACACCTACTGCCAGCGCTCTTCTGAGTACTGCTACACCGGTAACACCTTCCCTCTGCCCACGAGCCAAGCATCTGTAGCTGTTCTGCTCCAAATCCAGCTTTTCCCTGTTGAACCCCACCTCCAGCTGCCCGTTCCATCTTAACGTGCCTCAGTCTCAAAAGGCTTTAGAAACTCATAGGATTTACTTCAAAGGTAGTTCTTAACCTCGCCTTGCCCCTTTCTCCTCTCACAAAGTCCACAGCATTAGTCCATGCTCAGACAGGAATATTTCCAGGGCAAAGACGGGCTCTTGCCAGTCTCAGAGGATGACACAGAGCATTCCTTCCAACTCTGAAATGTGCCTATTCATTTCATCTTAACCTGTTACGCTGGCAGTTACAAAAGCAACATATACACATCACTCTTAAATCAACAGAGCCCTTTCTCTGCTAGAAGATTTTTCCATCTCAGAGATGGACTGTCCAGATAATGCGGATTTTATTTTTTTTTAAATAATTTGGTTTTGCTATTTGCACCCACATTCCACCTAAGACAGTAGCTTTCTCTGTCTGAGGAGCCCTGGATATAGCTGTGTGGCTTTTCAACATCAGAGTTAATCCACAGTTATATCTAGCACTGCAAAGTCCTCCCAGAAATTCTTCCAACACAAAGAGGATGTTGAATCCAGGCTTGAGAGTACCTGGATAAAGTAAACGGCAGCAGGAGAAACATCTAATCCAGCCTTATCATAAACCTGCTGACTTCAGAGAGAGCAGGAGTAACACGACACTTAACCTGGGAGCTAGCATGAGGGCTAGCACAGACCTTTAGTAACTCGTACCACCTCAGTTTCCCTCCAAGAACTGCCCAGGGGCAATTTTACTTTGATTAAATTAGAGCTAAGTTTGGAGTGCAGTTCACATCATTAGCAAGGCCTGATCACGCTGGACATGCTGCCGGCCGTTGGAATCACTTAGGAATTGCTAGTATATCATTCTCCATTCAAAACCCAAATATTTAGCCTTCGGTGCCTGTGAGTTATGCAGGGCATGAAGTAGTCAGTCAGCAGCCTGACCTCGCAGGAGACACCTTCCCAGGGCGTTGCTTTGTGCCTCTGGGGAGCTGCTGGGTTCAGAGCGGGGTGCTCTTCATCCACCACCTTCCAGGTCAGTGGCTAGGACTGCTTAGGGATGGCCTCCCAGAGCAAAGGACCAACAAGGACAGTTTCAGGTCAAAATGTCAGGGCGTGGCCAGGCACACACGCTGCTGGCTGTTGCAGAGCCCTCCTCTTCAGCCTCGCAGGGCAGCAGAAAATGAGGAGTTGGCAGTTCCATCGCAAGAAGCAAGGAGACAAAAGCTCCTTGTGCCTCCTGATAAACCCATGTCTCTACAGCGACATGGTCTTGGCTCGCAGTTGCCGTGGATTTCTGAGCAGGAGAAGCCAAAATGCTCTGAGGGAGAGGCAATGCTGAGCAGAACATAACTTTCCCACCTCTCCTGGGGTTTAATTTGCAATAGTAACCTCCTCGCAAGAGTTTGTGCTTCAATTCTGTCTTTTCAGCAGACAGCATCAGGCTGGGCTCAACCCAGAACGGATCTGCAGTTTGCTTTCTTCTTTCTGCGCCTCTCCGCTTGTGGGGGTGCAGGGCCAGAAGTTAAACCCGAAGTCCATCAGGTCAGCGTTCCTCATAGGAGTCCGCCTTGTCGCTATTGACCTCTCCATCTCCATGAGCCCTCCGAGTCCCTGCCGAGCGCAAAGCCCAGCGCCTGGGAAACCTGCGCCCAAGGAGCACTGCTGCAGCTGCAATGGGCTCAGCAGACGCACCGCCTCCCTGACAGGGGTTTCTTTTTCTCTGCCGAACGCCAAGAGACACGCTATCTTTTTCTGTACAAGCAGCAACTCGATACATCAGGCTGACTACAGGAAAAACAGAACGGGGGAGCACAAAGCATGGGGTCTACAGGAGATACATAAAGCTCATCTCGTCTGCAACACGCTGCCTCGGCTTTGCAGCACAAGCAGCAGCAGCCTCCTCTGCACGCAGCGGGCTCCCAGAAGGTTACACATACCATAAGCACAAACAAAAATCACGATTCCCTGGTTCCACGCACGCTCGCGCCCACGGGGTATCAGTTTCTGTCAGCCAAGGGAGGGATGTAAAAATCTTGCTGCTGGGTGGGGGGGTTGTCCCCTGAGATCAGGGGGATTTTTTTTTTTCTCCTTCCCTGTAATTTCTCTTCATTACAGGAAAAACGGTCAGAGCTCTTTCCTTGATGCAAAGCTGCAGGAAACCAAATCCAAGAGGCCCTTCGTAGCTTCCTACTTAGCTAGCTTTATCTTGCTCAACACTGCAGCCAGGGCTACCCAAATCATTGCCAACCAGGAAGGCGCAATAACAATGTCGCAGCAGCATCTGCTATTTATATGAAGGCAGACTTAAGCATGGTTAAATGAAGGTTACAGTGAAGGATAAGCAGAAAAATCTGAAAAAGGAGAGCAGAGGGGAAGGAAGGGGGGGGGGGGAAGCTGGTCCTTTAGATTGTCTTGCAGAAAGGAATCAAGGTATATCTTAAAGCTTTTTGGGCAGGTAGAAGGCTCCAGTGCGTTTCCCTGTGCAGTGATTCAAGTCTGCCTTTATTCCCAGCTGAGCTCAAAGAGGAAAAGCCACAAGGGTGAGTGGCCATGAACAGGAAAAAGAAGAAAATGGACTTCTTCTGTTTTTTCACCTTGTGCTCTGTTTTTATGAAGGATGGTAGGAGCGGCCCACCCAAAAGCCTTTTATCTCAGGAGGTGATTTGAGCTGGAAACAGGTACCTGTAATTAACTTGCATTCCAGAAGGGGAGAAGTTAACTTATTTAGCTTTTCTTCATGCCGCATTTCAAAGAGAAATTAAGTTTTGATAAATGAGAATGAGCATGTGCATTCTGCAGTGCTTGACCTGCAGTTATTTTCAGGCCTCACTGCTCAAAACATGGCTTTCGGTTGTCCACTCACAGATTTACTTAAGGAATGAGCACAGCCCCACTGGCAACCTAGATCATTTTCATAGGAATTGCTACGATGACCAAAAGGACGTTCCTAGAGCAGGGCTGCACTGCACAGGACACCTCATTCACCTCCATGCATACACAGAAGTAGGTGGATATGGGATCCACCATATCCACCCCGCAGCAGGTGGAGCTGCCTCTGCATACTGAGAAGTTAAGGTGGAAATCCACGTGTCCCACAGACACCAGCAGTACACAGAACCATCAGCTCCATCCGAGGAGTAAAGCTGCTGAAGACACAGGGATACACAAATGAGAAGGCCTCTTTCTTGCTCCCTCCTTTCTTCTCTGTGGGGATGATGATGCTC